TATAAAAAAACCAATATACCACCTATAACAATAGCATTATTTTGAGACACTTCCTGAGCAAGAGGCTTCATCAACTAACACATTATAGAAGTCTTCATAAAATGCACATTTTAAATAAGTATGTCTTTTTTGCTCAACAAGAATTCAAAAAGTAATAATTTCATAAGATACTTATTTGCTATAAAAGATTCCATCTTACACAAGAACCGGAGTTTTTATACCACAGGTAGCTTCAGAGCATTACAACAGCCATCAATAAAGTTCTAAATCTTTTAACCTATCAGCCTTTACGCTAAAAGCCTAAATTAAAATATTTTACCTCAGTAAAGGCACAGTACCCTCATGTGTCTGTAGAAGACTATGAACTTGGGGAGCAAATGTCTTCAGAGACAAAATCACAAAAGGAATTCTATAAGAATCTGGATCAAACTCATGCTCACTGTAAAAAGAAGAGGTTGAAGTTTATATGCTCATTCTACACATAGCTTCAGCATAGTATGCCTGTGCTCACCTATAGTAAACATACACATACGACATACTGCTACTCACTGACAATACCACTATGTACAGTCACAAGCAACTTCCACCTTTTCCTCACAAAAGTTAATACAGCTACAGCAAACTTCCAGAAGACAAGCAACATTTAGAAGACCACATTTTTATTACTATTAGATTAAAACTTTCAGATTAAATTTTAGCAGCACATACCAGGCAGTTAACAGTGAACACCTAATAACTGCTCTAGAAGCACAACCTGGCTGCTGTTGAATAAAACAAACAAAAAAACTTAACATATAGCTTCAGGAAGTCTTCAACCCAGTACGAACCACTTACTAAAAGCAGCTGGAGGCCAAAAGAAGAACGATCAGCTCCAGCTATAATTACATAATAAAATTCAAGCTAATAGAAACCTCTAGTATGTATAATCTACATATATATATGTATATACATATAACCAGAGGAAGGTAGCATATATTTCAGCTTCTGTTTAAGAGGTACTCAATCTTGGCAGCTGCGCAAGAATACAATAATGTTATCTGAACAGACTGATCCGTAAGAACTGCCTGTAAAATTTGCTGTGGCAACTCGCAATTTTTCTGCCCGACTTCTTGTGAACATATAAAGAGCGACTGGAGCATGCTATATGAACATATATACCTCAACTTTAATATAGCTGTAAGCGTTAAATGCTGTTCAAACATTTTGTAAGATTTTATAGTATTTATACACAGCTTACATAAAGTCTTTATTCAGGCAATGCTGCTTACAAACAGGCTCATGGTATTCCAACTCTTCAAATATTATAGGACTACAGTTTGCTGATGAACCATCATGTGACTGTGAAGATCCCAGTGGACTCTGCCGGGCTTGGCTGCTGGGTAAAAGGCACACCAGCCGCGCACTTCCTTGGTCACGGATTGCCACAGTATCCGTTAGCTTATACAAGTCTGATACAATTAATTTATGCCCAAATCTAAAAGAAACAAATTGAAATAAATACACTTTATAAACACAGTTAGAGACTGCAGTAATCTGCATTTTTTAAGAAACAGGAATAAACACTAGAAACTATGCAAAATGTTCAGGTGACTTTTCTATTCATCCCTATGTAGAGAAATTAAGTAAAATACTGAAAGAAAATACATATCCTCTATGAAAGGCCAGTATTACAGTCATTGCTGCTGGATCGGTAATGTGCTGCAATATCTAAACAAAAAGAAACCCGTAACACTCCATTCTGTTATGGAATAACACTCTCTATAATTCACTGTAATTCCACAAGATCAGATTCTTTTTAGAAGTTCTAGAGAAAAAACACAACTGAGGACTTACTTCTTTTCATAGATTTCTGTGAATTTGAATACAGGCAGACAACAAGCAGGTGCATCCTGCAGAATGGATATTGTTTCTGAGCTATAAAAGAAGTTTTATAACATTAGTACAAAATTAATCTGTTATTATTAGTCTCCAGCCAAAATTGGTGAGGTATTTACAGATGCAGTTTATGAACTATAAACATAAAAGGACAAACTGCATTCCTTTCCATCCCAGCACTACAAAAGGTGACACTTCAGATCAGCGGAGTGCAAATAGTAACACTTCTGCTAGCTCATTAGGTAACATCTCTGCATCTTTCATAGGTGGTGGTAAGATTTCAACCATCTATAAAATGCAACATTAAAGCTGCAGCACTAGAAGTTACCAGCATGGTCATTAAGAACTCTGAACAGGCATAAACTAAAAGGCAAGAATGACAGAGTTGTAAATTATACAAGGGCAAGTAGCACATAATTATAGAACACTCCACGCACTATTTTCACTGGAGTTTTCTGGGAAAACAAAGACAACTTTTTTCGTAATGCTTTCTTTCAGTAAGGAAAAAATTGAAATAGAAAATACTTGTATTCTCACTAACACCAGAACTCTAGTTCTATCATCTTCCATCTAGAAAATGGAAATCAAAAGACACACCAACAGCATTTAAACTGTGTACCCCATCCTCAAAGAGAAGATTCATATGCACTTCCTTGGAAGAAAGAAATAAAGGTGCCAAGTATTATCTTAACTCAGCTGCACAAATTAAGTTATTGAGGTATATTAGCATTATGAAAGAGTAGCACTGAAACTAATAAACACTATTAAATAGAGATCTAGTCTCTTCAGATGCAACTTAAAATATAAGCAGTGTAAAAATGCTAAACTGAAAACTAGCCTAGTTGTATTTAACACATTCATCAAGTCGTAAGACAGATTTTACTTTATTTCTCTATCATTCCTTTCCTCAGTATTTTAAATGATCTCTCAGCTATTAAATACATGCTAGAACAACTGAGACAATGCCGAAGTGCTTATTACCCGAGTAGAGAGAGTGATTTACTAGCAGCTCCTGTTGCTAATGAGACCTGGATCCTTTTACTGCCAATCTTGTATCTGTGAAGATTGTTGACAGCACTGATTGCTTCTTGCAGATTTTCCATCTGAACTGTAGCCTTCAACTGGTAGTCTGTATGAGGACTGAGCTCTACACTTTTTACCTGAAGGAAGAAAACATTTATCAAAATATTAACACAAGGCAAGCCAACACAAGAGTAGCACCATCTTGCTTTGGCAGTGGCCAAATACAATGCAAAAGGGAACTGAGTATGATGAACCGTGGCCAACAGGACAATGCAAACAGGAACCAAGTCCAGTGAGCCTTAGCCAAGGCAAGACCATGATATTCCTTTAACACAAGCATCATCTTCCCATGTAGATTATGCCAGAACAATGTAATCTACAGATCAGACAGAATTAGGCCTGCTGCAGAAAGGACCTCTCCTTGCATAGTTGCTTCTTACTGATTCACACTCTCCATGTCTGTTTTGATCACTTCTGATTCAAAACAAACTTTCTGTGATTGTTCAGCTGACATTAGGAATTCAGCTTTACAGCTAAAGCCTAAGTCTCTTCTCTGCATCACTAATGAGCCACTTACTAAGAATTTCACATACAAAGTTTCAGAACACCAGATCTATGAAGACCCCATGCAAATTAAGAAGATAATGCAAGTGATGAACTGGTCTTTTTGAAGGAAGAAGACAATTTAACAAAGTTTAAAAGTCATGTTTTGATAGCTTTCCATTCCTACTCACTTAAAGCCAGACCACAAACATGTCCATAAACACATAAACAGGAAGTACATAAAAAACAGATTTAATAAAGGTATTTTAGCCTTTACCTTGCCATGTCTTGAGAAAATTTCTTGTAAATTTTGCTGCAACTCTTTTCTGGACAATCTATAATCTACATTGCTTATCTGAATGTCTGCACCATTTGCAAAAGGATCAGGGCAGTCTGTACCACTGGTATGATTTACTACATTAAACGTGAGTGGAGAAGATCTATTTGAGAGGTTTGGAGACATACTCCTGTGTAAAATAAAAACATTTATGAGCTAAAGTAGCTCTTGCACAATTCTGATATTTACATTTCAAAATTAATCAGAAAATATATGCAGATCAAGAGCACAAATACAGCACTTCGAAGGTATTTTCCCAGTACGTATGTGCAGACAAAACAAATTTCACCACAAGCAAAATGTCATAACATTTTGAAGAAATGAAATAATTCGTATTGCATTTCAAAGACACCCAATTTAATCATATATTTGACACCAAGTCTTATTAATCTATCTTATTAATACATTTTAAAAAGGCAAACTCATTCACATTATTTTAATAATTGGCAAAGGCCAGATATTTAAGTCTACAAGAATTTAGTGGGCCTGGATAAATTTCTACTGGGAATGTCAAAAGCACTGAAATTAAGAAGAGTAAGATGTCTATAATACTTCTGAAAATTCTTCAGAAGATTTAAAGACAAAGTTTGCAGGAAACAATTGCCATACAGTAAGTTTCTGAGAAAGAGTTCACTCCATCTTATACTTACATCCACCCTCTGTTACCTGTTATACAGCACCATCACAGTTTCCTTTAATGCACTGATTTATGTGGAGGCAAAAGTAATGTGCTTAGCATACACAATTCCATATGCAGCTGTCAATAATGAATGTATATACCCGTGAAGTCTCACTTCACTTCCCAAATGAGACATAGACACTTACCGAGATGACCAGCAACTCTGAGACATGAGTAAAGGACTGAGTTGTCTTGAGGCTGTCAACTTACTGAAAGCAGAGGGATAGCTGACCTGAAATACAGTTTCGTCTTTATCTTTATCTACAGGGGAATTGGTAATGCTCCTGGAAGCAGAGGTCTCTTTTCTATTTACAAATACATATAAGAAAAAGAAAAAAACATTACATTGCAGAACTCCTTTAAAATAATGTAGCTAACACTGATGTCTTTATGTTTAAACATACTTCTGACTACTTTTACAGGATGATTCTCCCATTCCGATTTTTTTTGTTGCCAGAGACACAGGAATCACTGCATTAGAGTTGCTCTGAGGAGAAGGAATTTGTTCTCCTAAATGTTCTTGCTGGTTTTCAGTATTTCTACTGGTGGTCTTTGATTCAAGGCGGCACAGTTCCTATGTAAAACAGATGAAAGGTCAGCAGAAAAGCACCAGACATTCCTTGCCAGAGGCTTTCCTCGTGATGGAAACCTAGATAACTGACAGATTTTTCTTTAACAGCATTTTCCTTGGTAGTTCATAACAGGAATATTTGATTTTCTGTGACAGACAATAGTAAGCTGTCAATTAGTTGAAATATTTTTGCTACACCGTCAATCTACCCTAGTTCTCCTTAAAACTAGCAAAGGGATCACTCTTCAACACCAATACAAAATTCAAAACTGGCCTAGAATTTGAGACTCAGTAAGTACCAGCAGTATTTCCAAATTGACATAAAGTGGCAGGGAAGGGGAAAAACAACCCTCAAATTCATCGTTTGCTTTCCAAGCAGATACAATTTTCCAATATTTTCCAATACAGCTCTCATTCAGGAATGTCACTATACATTAGTTATTTATTAACTACGACTGACAAGTTAAAGATAAAGCTGTAACAGAAACAATCCTCAGAACATGAGGAAAAGCAAGAATACTTAATAAGGTAGAACAATACCTGTAAACTTTTAACATGTGTGGGTTTGACAATCGATCCATGAATCTGGAATCCTCTCCCAGCAGAGCCTTTGGTACCAAGAGACTGATCACTTGAGTCTTTGTTGAGGAGGCACAGCTTTGTGTTCTTGTTAATTTTTTTGGGAGACTTCATCTTTTCAGCTCCCACAAAGCTGGAACTTTTTGTTTCATTAAGTTCTTTGTTTTTGGGAGTAAAAGACACTACAATCCTGTTACCAAAAACATCTTCATTTTCCATTCGCTTCCGAGCCCTTTCAGCACTTTCTTGATTTAAAAAACGGAGAATTGCACTGCTTCCAGAAATGCTCAGCACCTTCCCTCCACAGTTGTCTGACAAACGCCTGAGTCTATTACTGACACTTTTGCTGTCTCTGTTTGTTGGCAGATTATAAACATATAATAATGTATGGCATGCCTGTTTAAAAGGAGTAAGATTTTAATTTGGTTATGTCAGAATACCCTCTTGTTCAAAACCAGTATTTTTATACTGATTCTGGTAACACTCTCTCCCCCCGCTCCCCTCAAGTCATTCTTCTTGCAGCATTCAATTCGCTTGGAAAACTCTCATACCAATGTAGATCCTCAAACTTCCATCTCCAATATAATTTAAAGCTAGAAGAGACTATAGCATCCCTGATCAATAGATCAATACCTGATCACTTCTCCAGATAATAAAGCATTACTGTTTGCAACCCAAGAATTCCATATATTCTACACCTGCATGTGAACACACAGTTCAGGAAGTTATTTCAAAGGAAGAAAAGGTTACGAGTGCTGCGCAAAGATAACACAAAAAATACAGAGGGAATCATCAGGAAGACAAAAACTCCAAGAAAACAGTCACTCAAAACTGTTAAGAAAGCATCGCAGAGCTATCTTAATGCACAACTGAGTACCTACCTTAACCTTCTGCCAGTGAAAGAAAAGCATGTAAGATACACTATCTGATAAAATATTTAGTGATAAGAATGGGACCTTGCTATTTTACTTTAGTTAATTACTTTATTATTTCATTCTTTCAGTCTTTAAGCAGAAAGCATACATTCATGTGGTAGTAACTGAAATACAAACAGTGGTCAAGTATGCAGCAGACATCCTATCTAAATTAGAAAAAAGTAGTTGACATTGAGATGTTTGTTGTATTAAGAATTAAAATCCTTACCGGCATTTTCAGTGGTAACCTTGGTGGCAAGTCTGAAATAAATTCTTCAAAACAAATAAGCTCATGAGCATGATGTAAGAGTGCTTCTGAAGCTTGGTTTTTATGTACCAAAATTATCCGAAAACCATGTCGGTGTCTCAGGTCACTGAGTTCCAAAGCAAAGTTTACATCCGCTGGAGAACGAAAAAAAAAATAGAATGAACAAGGAAATACATCAAAAAGCTGGGGAGCGGGCAGTGGATATCAAACAAACACTCCAGGTCTCAATGACAAGTTCCATTTATCACTGAAAATTTCCAGTGAAAAAGCACCACCAGCTACAAGGCTTCTCAACAGACATAATTTAAATCAGCAGTTAATATTCAGTCTCAGACAAGGGCTTCCTTTCAATAGCAACTTTTAGCAATTTATCAGCAAGACATTTGACTAGTACTGTATACTTCTATCGCAAACATTAGTTTAGCTTTAGGGAGATGTCCAGGGCAACACATGCCAATTAAATAGTTGAGTGGCTTGCATATTTAACTGTATAGTATGCTGCTACAATAATGAAAAACAAATCAAATACATTTTGCTCAAAGCATTCAGAAAGACTACCATAAGGAAGACTCAATGAGTTTTACTTTATCAGCTTCCTGCTGAAGCTGTCTAACTTTAGACAGTATTTATACACATACCTATTGACACTCCACAAGACATCAGATTCCAATGCCGATAGTTAACTAAGCCAAGTTCTCATCTTGCTTTCTCCCTTGCTGCCACTGACATTAAGAATTCTTGAGCAATTCAGTTAAAGCTCATTCTGATTCTAACCACAAAGCTGATTCTAACCACAACCCTTGGAAAGTAAATAGTCATATGCAAAAGTACTACTGAAGAGAGGAACTGAATTCTGCACTGTAGATTAGTACCACTAGCACTTACTTGACACAAGAACCACAGTGGCAGGCGCAGTGTGTGTATCAGCAAATCTCCTAAGACTCTGTCTGAGTTTGTCATCAGCAGCATTCTTTGCTGTAGCATTGATGTGCGCAACAGTCACCTGCGGAAATGCATACATAGGCTCTAAAGAAAAGCTTGAATGTTAACTATGCTTGCCTAAATTTATTTTTAAATAACAAATACAAGCTTTCACAGGCACCTTTTATTTAGATAAATTAACACACACATCCACTCAATAAAACATGTATGGATCTCAAACTGTTCTAATGAGCAATGAACTTCAACCCTAGTTGTTCAGCAATGTCTTAGGGATGACTTCCACTGTTCTGTGTTAAAGATCACAATTTACATGCCTTAAAAATATTCCATAAGCCCGGATTTGAATTAGAGGTGTGACAAACGTAGGAAGTACTCCCTATCAATTCATTTTACCTCACATAAGCAGATATACTGTCAACCTGTTATCATATCTGCAATTTAGGATGTGGGAAGGGAATTTCTGACTTAAACCTACACAAAAAGTTAAAAAATACCAAGAAACAAAAAAGTATTCGTGGAAAAACATGCAGTTTTAAAGGTGCCCCAATCAATAGCACTAATTTACAAGTGTCCTCACTAATCAGCACAATATTCACTAACAGAATTAAAAAAGTTAAGTTCACACAATCATAATTCTTTGAGGTTAATGATTTAGTCATTAACTAATCATTAGATTTGAAGGGTAACACTAGAAATGCAGCCACCAGCACTTACTACTGGATGAAATAAAAATCCTCTTTACTAAAGCTAAAACAGTAATCTACCTATAATGGAACACAGTTTCAGTTTTAAAAAGTATCACACCGAGGAGTCCAGCATTAAGGACCCACCCATAAACTAATTATAAGCTCATGCACTAAAAAACCAGAAGCTAACATAAAGTTTTAGTGAACAGGAAGCACTATTAGAACGCTCAGAGTACACAAATTCTCAAGCAAGAACATCAAGTAGAGGCTGTTTGGATACCTGGCAGTTGTTTAGTTCCTGAATAACTTCTTTATTTTCTTTACTAATGTCACATACACAGATGAATTCTGCCTCTCTGTGACCTTTAAAAAACTTTTCACGAATCCTCTGTACAACCGCTATAGCTGAACGGCCAGTGGGAACTGAACAGTTTTCAATATCCCAGAAGACTCCAATGGGGGGCAAGTTTTCCAGAACTTGGCCTGTTATTGCAACTTCCGGAGACCCTGTACAGGTTTAACAACACAGCTCATTTATCTCCAAATACGAAAATTGTTAAACTTGGTAAACTATGAACTTTGCACACAGGAAGCTTTATTTTTTAGAGAACAACATGCCCAGGAATGCAAGTTGAGTTTTATTTTCTTAAGGAATCTAGAAACAAATCAGGTATTTCCAAAGTTTCTCTTTAAGGGAGAAATTTTATACCTCAAATCAGTCTTAAGCAGAAATTTAGTCACTTTTAAGTTAGGATAAAAATGCAAGACAACTTCAGCTTTACATTTAAACTCTCGAATAAGCAAGTAATGTATTTTTAAAAATGTTATCAAATGCTGAGGTGGTATGTGCCATGAAAATTGTCTGAAGTTGTGTCGCACAAAGCTCAGCAGGTGCTATATTGGTAATGGAAGTGAAACGAAAGCTGTTCAGTGTGCATTAGATAAAGAATCTAAACAGAACTGGATGAGATTACCAGTATAGTGATAATGATTATAGAAAATTAAGGCAGTATGGAATAAACACAGAAGTATCCTACAGTTCAGGAGAGTGAGTTTACAAGTTTTTGCTATCACAAGCTAAGAAGTGCAAATAAAGTTTCTGGTGTTTCAGCAGTCTGAATATCTATTTAATTTTGAATTAACATTATACACCCATTCCAATCCCACAAAACAACTGGAAAAGAAACATGAAGAATGACACAGAATCCTCACAGGTTAAAAACAAGCTAAGAATTAAAGTCAGCTGAGAATATAAAATTAATCACACCAGACAAATGTCATATTTGTTTAAGTATATGTTGACTAGTTATTCTTCTATAAAAAATGCAATACCAGTGAATCTTGTAGACACTTAATTGGGGTGTTGCACCTTAAAAACCTAAAAATGGGTGTAGTCTTAAAACAATAGTAAAACTATCCAATTTCTTATTATTCCATGACACTAAGTTTACAATGTTCATACTAGATATGATTTTGCAATTGAAGCAATATTAACACTGTAGAAAGACCATGTAATTATTTCACACAATATTTTCCTCTCAAGAACACTGAAAAAAGCTATATTGCAATTATAAATATTACACCTTTACTGCATATGGAGTAAGAATAGACACTACAGACTAAGAAAATACTTTCGAAAGTATGGCTGAAGACAATTTCTTTATACACCATGAAATAGCTTCCAAGACCTTAGAATAATAGTAAAAAAAAATATCAAAAATCTATGCAAACAGTACAGTAAGTTAACTAGGTAGTCAAAACAAGTAAAGCCAAGTTATGACTTTACAAAACAGAAAAAAGGTATTTTTTTTACTGTTTAGTCTTCTATGACTTCATAGATGTTACCAGAGAACAGTACAATTTAAGAGAACTCTTCATGTGCACAACAGTATTTAAGGAGGACATCCACTAAGTAAAAGTTTCAATCAAATGGGGTTTACCATATTTCTGTGGTGATTTGCCAAGGCTGCTCGCCAGTAGCAAACTCTTCTCATTTCCTGCTCCTTTGGTTCCACAGCCATTACATACTGGGATAGGAACAGGTGCAGTCTGTGCACTTGGAGGAGGAATATTTGGCCAGATTTTAGCAGCATCAACTAGGCTGTTTCTGGTTGGCTGTTGGGACAATTTTTCAAAAAGATGTTCATTTAGTATACAATATTAACACACAGTATTCCATGCTAGAAACAGTTTCCCTTCTACAACAAATGCAGGTTCAGATGTACTCTAAAGTTAACAACAGTATCACTGCACAAAGGAAGCTTCTACCCTAGTCTCTCCTAGTATACTTAGCTCTAGATTTCCAAATGCAAGGAAAGATTCTGTTAAACTCTGCACATAAAGACGTGCCATCTTTAAGAAGTACTAATATGTATTCTAAGGAAAAAAAAAAGAAAAAAGACCTGGCATGTGAAATCAGCACAATTAAGAGTACAAGGATGAATCACCTCGCCCCCCAATAGTGGTCACATCCAAACATATTGAATTCACCATTTAGTTTATTCAAATGACAACATTTCATTTTTACCTTGCAAACTTGAATTTGGAAGGTTAAGTAACACATCTCGCAAAGCTGAGAAATTCCTATTAAAATTCAAGCCCTGTTTTAATCAGTTCTAAAGTGTACCAAATTGCTACTGAAGTATAAATTACTGATTTGGGAAGACTGAACTACAACATATCAAACCAAAAATATAACTTGTAGCATCAGACATTTCACCTGACTTACAAATGGATCTTTATTGATCAGCTGTCCAAGGGTACATGTTAACTGTTGTTAGCCTTTTCTCAGTCACTACTATGGAACATTGTAATTGGAGCTATCAAGAAGAGATAACTGTCTTTCAAATCCAGTCAAAATTCTTCTTGAGTACATTACAGATCACCTGTAAGCTAAACATTGTGATAGCTTCTTTTGTCTTCCTATCGAAATTAATGTTACCTCAGAAGAGAGATCATCTTTAAAAAGGATATCTGGTACATTTGGACTGTGCATCACCAACTAGGAAGACGCAAGCTGCAACCCATGGAAGCTAGTGTTTTGCCCAAGTAACATTATTTTAGCATTAACCATATACAATGCTTAATGAATGAGAAATGTGATGTGTACAAACCTTGCTCAAGCAGTCATTGCAGTAGTGAGAGCCCTTTAAACAAACCGAAGGTGCCATGTTTAGGTGCAAAGGGTTGGCGCACACACGTGATGTTAACTCCGACTGTGCAATATGCTCATCCAAGTGGCCTGTAGCCCCACTTGTGAATTCAGAACAAGGGAAATAGCCGGAAGATGTGCAGCTCTGAAGGGCTGGAAACTGATGCAGTTTGTGCATGTTACCATGACAGGACTGGAAATGGAGTTTTCCACAACAGGGCAGATGTTGACAGGAAGATACACTGTTTTCTACACACATGCCAGGGAACTCACTCGCAATGCCTGCCAAATTGCTTCTAGCTGGAGGATTCTTCAGTGAAGATGCAGACTGATAAGCAAATCCTGACCCTACTTGACAAGTAATCGTCCCAGTGCTTTTTGAGTCTAATATTGTGCCAGGGTGAATCAAGTTACCACCACCACCACCACAATGCATTTGTGGAGTACAAGAAGAGTCAGAGCCATGAGCACAGCAGCTTACTTTCGGGCCAGGTGAAAGCTGTATTTGCTGTTGCTGAAGAGGACGAACATCAGGAAGCGGTACTGCTGGAAACGGTTTAGAGCCAGCATTATGAGGAGATGAAGCATCCTTTAATTCTACAGCAGCTTTCTTGTTCTCCATGTAATCTTTCTAGAAAATGAAAGCTCAGTTACATTCAGATACATAAATAAACCAACAATTTTATAGTATAAACAAGCATATTTTTAGACTGTTACAATTTTGGCAAAAACAGAACTTTTCAGAAGTATTATCTCTATGATTACTATTACCTCACTGTCTGAACATCTAAAATATTAAAAGAAACATGCCAGTTATGTGTGCCAGCCTGAGGTATATTGGTATCAGTGGATTTTGGAAGCAATAAAACAAAAAAGCTATAAACCAAATAGCAATGGGTCTGTAAAACAGAATTTGAAAAGCAGAAAACCGTTAGGCTACAGCTGAGACACTCTACAATTGCAAAGCAAAAAAACATTTATTTCTTTTAAGAGCAAACAGACAGATACGAAGTAAAAAAACACCACAGTTTGGGAGTACATAAGTAACCATCTTTAAAGTCTTTTTTCAAGGTAAAAGTTGTATTAGACTTTTAGAAGTAATGTATTAACAGGCTAAGACTTAAAAAAATTAGAAATTATATCAAGCGGGTAAACTAACACAGGACAAGAGACTAAATTTTCACCACAACTATGTAAGTTCTTTTCGCCTACTCTGATTTAAGATAAAGACGTACAGTCATAAAGGCTTAGACAGAAATACAGGGTGTTTTTCTAAAACGGCAGCAGTGAAAACTAAGCAAGGTTATGAGAAGCACCAGAACAGTCAAGGTCAGTAGAGTTACCCTGCATACAACTCACTGCTCCAAAGCTTTAGGTCAGTACTTTGGAACAACTTTTACTTGCCAAATTTAATTTAATGCATTTCCTACTACACAGTAATGAATAATTGATTATCCAAGTTCAAAACCCTTCTTCTCTACCTGATACCACATCTTATGAATTGAAGATACACTCTGCCAAAAGTCTGCCTGAAACTAGTTTATATGTTAAATTCCAGAATTCATGGCAGGTCCCTTCCTAACCCCTGACTCACAAGACCAGCAACACAAAAGAATACATGCTTATCTGTTTCCACTATGTCTTTTACTGAAAGTCAGACTGAACATGCATGAAAGTGCGTTACTTGAGCAAGCAAGCTCCAGTTGTTAAGTAAGTCATTGTGTTGTACTATTCCTTCTATTCCTTAGGTGCTTTGCATGTTAAACGTATAGAATCACATACAGTTACAGAACAGGTACATTTAAAGAAATGGAAAAAAAGAAAAATTAGACATTCATAAAGAACAGTATCCACAATTGCTGTAACTACTATATAGTAATAATTTAGAAAACTCTAAATTTGCCTCCAAACTAAATTGATAAAAATCTGGAAGCATGACGACTTCCCTACTCAACTCTTCAGCAATTACTTCACACAGCTTTCAAGAAGCTGCCTTATACACTTTTTGTCATTGTATTATTCCAGTCGTATTATTCCAAATAGAGCTGTAGAGAGTAAAGCCTGTCAAGCAAAGCAACTCGCCCATTTTCACCAACATCAATGACAGAGTTGTGAACACAACTAAAGACCTTAAATTCCCAGATAAATTTTGTACTTACCATGTTAACTGCTGTCTCCTCCTTCTCCCCTCCCCACTCTCCCCACTTAGTCAGCAATAACACTGCAGTTAGTTATACCGCTCTGTACCAGGATATCAACTATGCTTTTCATAAAGCACTGAATTACCGTTTTCGCACTGCAAGGCAAAGACTTTTCAGCAGCAGAAAAGCAATTAGAAAGTTTCCAGAGCCATGGTTTAGCATCATTCTCTTGTCGCTGAAGCCATCCGAATGATTTATTGCAGAGGTTCTCTGTCCTGTTTCCTTCCATCATACACCCAAACAAAAAGGTTCAACATTCTTTCATCCCCCCTTCCTTTCATTCTTCCCACCTGCTAAGGAGAGAAAAATGTATGCTTTAAATAACTTTTAAGGTAAGACAGAGAAAACCCTCAGTGGTCTTATGAATTCCACTATTGCTAGATCACTAAACCTGCATTATTTATGTTAAATTTAATTATGCATATGGAACACAGCCTTGACTATTCCCATTTAGTACAGGAACATTCCACACGACCTGCGGCAAGAGTGAGGTATTCCAAGGAAAACAGTATTTAAGTCCATGGCATTAGTTACAGAGTCCAAGAAAGGCTTTGCTGCTGACATGAAATAATTCCCTGAAACTTGCATTGTATTCTCCTGGAACAAGAAGCCAGGAGGTAGGCTTTCAAGAACAGCTCATCAGTAAATACAAAATAGGTGCAACTGAACTCAGCTGAAAGAATTAAGCTGCATTTTTTTTTCATTGTCTAACAAAACTATATATACCTGTATTAAGCACACAGCGTTTAGTAATTAAACAGAGCTTTAAATTTATTAAAGTTACTTACAAATACTTCTACTAATTCTTAAGCAGTCCCACAGCACACCACATCAATTTAGCTTTACAGAACAAAGAAGCAAACTAACTGAAGGCTCAGCCACACTGTACCAGAAAAACTACAATTAGCAATGAAGTCTTCTTACCCTCCAACTATGTATGGCACTCATTAGACTACACTCCTTCAGGGTTTTTTTGCATTTAAACGCAATAACCATGGAACACTTTCCATAGCATTATATTTGCCGCAGCGTTATTTTTAACCACAAACGTAGTTTGACTTTTTTTTTTAAAGCAAAAAAGTTTATTTACACAAATCCTAAGTACCTCGAAATTATGTTGTATAAAATATTAAGTTAATTAAAAGTTCTACAAGCCCAGAGTACATTACTTTCAAAAAATGTCGGGTATCACCAATTCGTTTAGAAGTTAAAACGGTAACTGGAAAGAAATTAGAAGTTATGTTAACTACATATGCCCGCGCTTTGCCCTCTGCAGCTCGCAGCTTCTCGGGTGCTCGCCGCCCGGCCTGGCCCACAGCCCGGGGGGCGACGGCGAGGCCCGACCCCC